AGGGAAAGGAAGAGCTATTTTGTGCTAGACAGTTGATTAATTAACTTGTAAATATTAGATTCTTCATACCACATATTATAATAAATTCCATATTGATTAAAGAATTAAGTACTTTTGAGACTATAAAACCAGGAGAAAATATATTAGCATATATCTAATTTTAGGATAAGGCTGATTTTCTGAGATAATAGCAGTGGATGAATTGCAAAGGAAAAGAAGTCTTAGATTTGATTACATAGCATTTAGAATTTTTTCTACATCAGGGAACAAACTGTAAACAAAGTTATTAATAGGCAAATGTGAATTAGGAAAAGTGTTTTCAACATACATGGCAGATAAATGGTTAATGGCCTTATCTGAAATTCTCTTGATGATTTATAGGAAAGACACCAATAGAAAAGTAAAACGGATAAAGGCAGTGAATAGACAATTTATAAAATAAGAAATTCAGATAGCCAATAAAGGTGAAAAAATTTTTATTTCACTAATACTTAAGTGTGAGAAACTAAAAAGCTAATTGAAAACCTTCTGTATGTGGGTGGTGTGGTGGGCTAAATAATAGACCACAAAGATGTGCCCACGTCCTAATGCCCAGAACCTATAAATGTTACCAGATGGCAAAAACTTTGCAGATGTGAGTATGTTAGGGATCTTGAGATGGAAAAATTATCCCGGATTATCCAGTGGGCCCTAAATGCAATCACAAATGTCTTTATAAAATGGAGGCAGAGGGAAATTTAAGAAAGGAGGAGAAAGCAATGTGACCAGGGAGGCGGAGGTTTGAGTGATGGGGCCAAAAGCCAAGGAAGGCGGCACCACCAGAAGCTGGAAGAGGCAGGGAATGGATTCTAACAGTCTCCAGAGGGACCCCAGGCCTCCCGACACCTTGATTTCAGCTCAGTGAAATTGATTTGGGACTTCTGGCCTCTAGGACTATGAGAGAGTAAAATTCTGTTGTTTTAAGCCACCAAATTTCTGGTAATTTGTTATAGCAGCCACAGGAAACTAATACAGGTGAGGATTATTTCCAGGTGGATTTCACAGTAGACTGATAAGATGAGGACTGGCTTTTCCTCTCTGTAGCTCATAAATGTTTGTGTCTGTTAGGCTTTCTCTTTTGAACTTGTCAGTTGCTTCAGAATGACTCCTCAGCCTCCTGCCTAGGCTATAAGCTGGTTGCCAGTGTTCTGGTTACTGAGTGGGGGAACGGGCTGTGCTGGGGTGGTGGTGTCTCACCATTCGTCGTGCAGAAGTTCTGTCTCTCTTTTTTAATTGAAGTATAGTTGATTTACAATATTTTGTTAGTTTCAGGTGTACAGCAAAGTGATTCTGTTTTATATATATATATTTTTTCAGATTATTTTCAGTTACAGGCTATTACAAGATGTTGCATATAGTCCCTGTGCTGTACAATAAATACTTGTTGCTTATCTGTTTTATGTGTAGTAGCTTATATCTATTAATCCCATACTCCTACTTTATCCTCCCCTCCACCTTTGGTAACCATAAGTTTGTTTTCTATGTCTATTCCTGTTTTGTATATAGATTCCCTTGCATTATTTTTTAGATTCTACATGTGAGTGATATCGTATGGTATTTGTCTTTCTCTTTCTGACTTCACTTAGTATGATAATCTCTAGGTCCATCCATGTTGCTGCACATGGCAATATTTCATTTTTTTTATGGCTGAGTAATATTCCATTGTATATATACATACCACATCTACTTTGTCCATTCATCTGTTGATGGGCATTTGAGTTGTCTCCACATTTGCCTGTTGTAAATAGTGCTGCTGTGAAAATTGGGGTGCATGTATCTTTTCAAATTAGAGTTTTCATGTTTTCCAGGTATGTGCTCAGGGATGAGGTTGCTGGATGGTATGGTAACTCTATTTTTAGTTTTTTAAGGAACCTCCATACTGTTCTCCACAGAGGCTGCACCAATTTACATTCCTACCAACGGTGTAGGAGGATTCCCTTTTCTCCACATCCTCTCCAGCATCTATTATTTGTAGACTTTTAAAATTTTATTTAATTAATTAATTAATTTATGGCTGTGTTGGTCTTCGTTTCTGTGCGAGGGCTTTCTCTAGTTGTGGCAAGCGGGGGCCACTCTTCATTGCGGTGCGCGGGCCTCTCACTGTTGCGGCCTCTCCTGTTGCAGAGCACAGGCTCCAGACGCGTAGGCTCAGTAATTGTGGCTCATGGGCCCAGTTGCTCTGCGACATGTGGGATCCTCCCAGACTAGGGCTCGAACCCGTGTCCCCTGCATTAGCAGGCAGACTCCCAACCACTGTGCCACCAGGGAAGCCCTATTTGTAGACTTTTTGATCATGGTCATGCCTACCAGTGTGAGGTGATACCTCATTGTAGTTTTGATTTGCAGCGATGCTGAACATCTTTTCATGTACCTGTTGGCCATCTGTATGTCTAGAAGTTCTCTTAATTCCTGTTTTCAGTAAAGCCCCTGTCCTAACAGTGCCTGGGGCTCCTGGGTCCAGATCTCTGGCTCAGTCTCCCTGGAAACGAAAACCTCCGTCTCCTACAGGGATGAGGGAAGGGTAGCTACCTGACTGCTGGGAGTAGGTAGGTAGGGACCTGGGGGAAAGACACTCAGTCAATCTTCCTGCTTTCAGCCTTACCCTCACCTCCACCTCACAGGTGTCTAAAGCCTGAAATTTCTGAGCTTTTCTTGGATTCTGTGGAGCAAATCAGCCTGCTTCTCATCAGCAGGCCCTCTCCACACACTGGGCTTTAGCATTCTCTACCCTGCTACCTCAGGGACCATTCCTCCACACCGTTTCACAGCTTCCCCAAACGCATGATCTCTGTTGGCTGTTGTCTCTTCGCTTGTTTGTGTGTGTGTGTGTACAGGTATATATGTCTGGGGGGAGATAGTTGTGCCTTTTTTATTTGATCGGGGAGGAGTGGAGCTAAATGCATGTGTTCAGTTCGCTTTGGCAGCAAGTAGTCAAGACATCAGTTTCTCCCCCCTGCCCCCCACTGGCTGATACTGTATTTCCTTTGAAATGCATGCTTTAAATGAATGCCATGAGTTAATAATGATTTATTTACTACTAGTAAACAGACTCAGTTAAAATTAATTTAGTTTTAGTTCAGGTTAGGCTTATCCTGAAGGATAAGCAGCCTGGTATGTGAAATAGCACAAAGCAGTTGATTCTGACAGCTTTTGCCTTTGTTCTCGTTGCTTTTATGGAGAAGTTTTTCGGATATCCTTATTCTGCCGTTTTCATTGATGTCACCTCATTCATCCCATTTTATAAATGAAAGTGATTCACAATTTGGAGCATCCTGTCCTTCAACCAAATGAAAAGAATACTTTCATGGAAAATGTTCCAAGACAAAGAAATAGCTCAGGGATGTGATTCATTTCGGTCCTAAACACACACTCCCAGAGCAGACTTGCTTGTTTGTTACATCCACAAACTTGTAAACGGCACAGAGCAAATGGCTTTGATCCCAACGGTGGGAGATAGTGGCACGCAGTGTGAGTGTGGTGAAGAAATGATGCTTGCTAGGAGAACAT